TTGCTGCTCTCTCTCCCCACACCTGAGGGCCTGCACCCAGGGATCATGCTTACCTGAGCATGCCTGCGTGTGTCCACACGCTCGCGCTCATGCACACACTCACACACACACACACACACACACGCTCACACACACTCACACACACTCACACACACACACACACACCACACACACACACACTCACACACACACACACACGCGCGCGCGCGCGCCTGTGGCACCCATCTCCCCCGACAGACCCACCTTTGCACAAGGCTCCTGCTGGGTCCCTTCAGTCCAGCGCCCTGGCACTGCATCCCGCATGCCCACCTCCTGCCCTGCCTGGCAGAGGGCTGTGACCTGGAGTCCTGGAGGCTGGACCTTCTACTGGCTGCGGGGAGTGGCTCAGGGGTGGCCCCTGGCTCCAACCACCCAAAGGAGCCTGGGATAGCGGGGACGGTTCCCTCAGACTCCCCGGGGAGGGCTCTCCTGCCTGCCCCCTGCTCCTCCCCGTGGCAACAAGCACTGGCTCCCTGGCCTCCTCGTGGAGGGCAGCTGAGTGGCCTCAGGGTTAGCAGGCTGGGTGCTGGATTCAGATGCAGATTGGGTGGAGTATCTGCTTTATCCAGCTGGGGAGCTGGAGCAGGTACCTGACCTCCCTGAGTCCGTTCACTCCCCTCTAACATGATGACGCCATAGTGCCGGGGCTATTGAGGGAGCTACTTCCTACTCCGCTTTACAGATGGGGAAACAGAGGCAGAGCGGAGACGGGACTTGGCTCAGATTGCACACCTCCTAAGCAGCGGGACTGGAGTTTGAAGCCAGGCAGTCCACCCCCACCCCTACCCCAGTCCACAGTCCTCCACTCTCCGCTACTCCACATACTTTTGGCAGCAACAGGCCCAGTTACTTGAGACACAGCATTGCTCTGTGCCTGCCCCATGCCAGCCTGGGCCCTGCCTTAGACCTGGGATAGCTGAGGGTCCCCTGTACAGACCCAGACACACAGACGCTCAGCTCACCCCGAAGGGCGCCGGGGAAGCTTGGCCCAGGAGGAGGCCGGCGGGGAGACTAGGAGGGGCAACGCAGGAGGTAAAGGCCAGGTGCCTGCTCGGTCACTGCCGGAGGGAACGCCAATGTCCACCACCTCTGCCAGGCTGTCTGGGTGCTGGCATGGGCCTGTGGGAAATGCCAGCCAGCCAGGGGCCTCGGGCCAGCTTGATGCCACTCAGGACCAGGGCTGAGCCCAGTTGGGCACCCGCAGCCCCTGCATTGCCACCACCCCTACCCCCAGCACAGCTAGTCCCTCAGCTCACCCCCAGCCCCAAACAGGCAGGGAGGGCCTGAGAGCACATGGATCACTTGGGGGCTGACAGAGCTCTTTTTTTTTTTTTTAAATATATCTTTATTGATCTCAGAGAGGAAGGGAGAGGGAAAGAGAGATAGAAACATCAATGATGAGAGAGAATCACTGATTGGCTGCCTCCTGCACGCCCCTCACTGGGGATTGAGCCTGCAACCTGGGCATATGCCCTTGGCCGGAATCGAACCTGGGACCCTTCAGTCCGCAGGCCGACGCTCTATCCACTGAGCCAAACCAGTTAGGGCCAGCAGGGCAAGTTTTAAAAATTTATCTTTATTGTTGAAAGTATTCCAGATGTCCCCTTTTTCTCCCCATTGACCTCTCCACCCTGCACCTGCTCACCTCCCCCAGGCCTTCACTGTACTGTTGTCCTGAACCCTGTTTTTCGCGGGCTGGTGGTAGGACTTGGACTCTGACCCCTGGGCAGAAGAGTAAGCCAGAAACACCTCGTGGGCCTAACATGAAAGGCAGAGGGTAGGGCTTAGGAAGTAGTACGTTCTTCTTCTTTTTTTTTTTTTAATATTTTTTTAAAATATATTTATTGATTCTCTACAAGGAGGAAGGGAGAGAGATAGAGAGTTAGAAACATCGATGAGAGAGAAACATTGATCAGCCGCCTCCCGCACACCTCCCACTGGTGTGCCCGAAGAAACCCAGGCACATGCCCCTGACCGGAATCGAACCTGGGACCCTTCAGTCCGCAGGCCGACGCTCTATCCACTGAGCCAAACCGGTTCTGGCCGTACATTATTCTTTGTTGGGGTAATGGAGCCACATTTTGTGCACTTTCAACGAGGCAGCCCGTTGTGAAGCTCTTTATATACAGTAGCTCATGCAATCTTTTTTAAAAATATATATCTTATTGATTTTAGAGAGGAAGGGAGAAGGAGAGAGAGATAGAAACATCAATGATGAGAGAGAATCATTGATTGGCTGCCTCCTGCACACCCCTCACCGGGAATCAAGCCTGCAACCCAGGCATGTGCCCTTGGCCGGAATCGAACCTGTGACCCTTCAGTCCACAGGCCGACGCTCTATCCACTGAGCCAAACTGGCTAGGGCTGACAGAGCTCTTGATGGAGCCCAGGCCTGGGCTGCCCTTTGCTCCCAGGCTTGAGGGGACTCAGCCCAGCCTCTGAACAGAGGAGCACCTTTGAGGGCCAGAGCTAGAAGCCCAGGGCAAGGAGACAGCTGGAGTGTTAAAAGCGGAAGATGGAAGCCCAGGAAGTGCATCACCTAAAATGACACCGCCTGTGCCAATAGAGTCCCAGCCATCTGCTCACGGAAGCGCCACCTGCCAGGGTGGGAATGTGGAGAGAATATCTTGAAGGGCGGCCAGGCGCCTGCAGCTGTGCTAACGCCTCCTCAGGTCACCCTCTCCTCCCTCTTTGTGGCAGCTCTTCAGCC